ACAATTTGTGTCCCTCGAGGCTATCAAAACTGCAGTTTTGACATGGTGTAAATCAAACAGCACAGAATTCTTCAGGTAAGACTTAGAGAGAAGCAACACCTTCAGAACTAGGTGGCGGTGGCGGTTATGTGCCATGGAGTCGGTTCTGACTCACAGCGACCCTGTACAGGGTTTCCGAGGCTATAAATCTTTATGGGAGCAGAAAGCCTCATCTTTCTCCTGCGGAACAACTGATAGTTTCAAACTGCTGACCTTGAGGTTTGCAGCCGGATTTGTAACCACTACGCTACCAGAGCTCCTTCAGAAATAGATAAACATAGACAAAGGATATGCGGAGAAACAATAGCTTCACATTTTGATATTTTTGCTTAATAAAGGTTTCTATGAGTTTGTAGCAATGATTTTTGATTTACCCTCAGTTCTTTGTTAGATGCAAAATGTTTTTTCCATCTCTTATCTTTTCTTTTTGTTAGAATGATATGTTTTGATTAACTGAAGTTTTCATTTTTATAAAGTTTAATTTATCTGTTATTCTTTTATGGTCATTCCTTTCTGTGCCTTAAGAAACCTTTACTATGCCACAAAGATTTCCTGTTGTCTTCTATAGGGTTTATAGTTTTAGCTTTGATGCTAAATCGATAATCTTCAGTTCATGTTTGTATACAATGTGAAGAAGGAGTCTGGTTGTTTGTGTTTTTTCTCAATAGAAATACCAAGTTTTTCTAGAACTATTTCTTAAAAGGACTCCTTTCCTCATTGAATTCTTTCAGCACCTTGTCAAAAATCAAACGACCGTATAAGTGTGCATCTATTTTTGAGCGCTCTATTTTATTCCAGTGGTTATTTGTTGATCCTTATAGCATTAGGAAAATCTACTGCACAAGACCTTTTTAAAGTATTGAAGAGCAAAGATGTCCGCTTGAGGACTAAAGTGCACCTGACCCAAGCCATGGTATTTTCAAGAACCTCACATGCATGTGAAAGTTGGACAGTGAATAAGGAAGACTGTAGAAGAATTGATGCATTTGAGTTATGGTGTTGGAAGAGAATACTGACAGTGCCATGGGCTCCCAAAAGAACCAATAGATCCGTTTTGGATGAAGTGCAGGCAGAACACTCCTTGGAGGCCAAGATGGCCAAACTTTATCTCTCTTACTTCAGGCATTGTCAGGAGAGACCAGTCATTAGAGAAGGATATCATGTTAGGTAAGGTGGAGGGTCAGAGAAAAAGTGTAAGACCCCCAACAAGACAGATTGGCCAGGTGACAGCATCGATGGACTCAAGCATGGCGACAGTAGTGAGGTTGGCCCAGGATCAGGCAGTGTTTTGTTCTGCTGTACATAAGGTTGCTATGCGTCGGTACCGACTCGATGGCATCTAACAACAACAATAACAATAGCACTAAGTACTGGGGAGTCCTGGTGTGGTATTGTGGGTTAATGTGCTGGACTGCAAAGTCGGTTTGAATTGCAAGGTCAGTGGTTCAAGCTCAGCAGCTGCTCCTTGGAAACCCTATACAGGGTTGCTATGGGTAACCGACTCGATGGCACTTAACAACATAGCAGTACCTCCAGTACAGTTTTGATAATGCAGCTTTAGAATCAGATTGAAGCCCAGTAGTATAAACTCCCTAACTTTACTCTTCTTTTCTGGTCAATTCCTATAAAAAAAAAAGTCTGGTAGGATATTGATTGGGAAATATTCTGAAATGTTTTTGCATCTGAAATGTTGTGGCCTATGTGTTCTAGCCATTTTATTGACAAACACCTTCATGTTAGTCTGAATTCTTCATTGACATCTCTGATTATCTCATAAATAGCAATTCTTTCTAAGCTTCCAGTTCTTGTGACTATTTTGTTCAGACTTTCCCAATGTTCTTTCTTTTTCACCATCGACATCTTGCCTCTCTCTTCTTTCAAATCCAATGTCCCCTTTTTTCTCACATAAATTGAATCACTGTTATTGCATATAAGGAATTCCTGCTCTGACTTCATGTAACAAGACTAACCCTATCCTGCGAGTTAGGAAATTTCTAACTTCCTTTCAAATTCACCTACCTAGCTCTCTGTCCTGGGGTTTAACACTGATATATCTGTGTGACCTTACTCTATCAAGACCTCAGTTCTCTTGCCCATACAGTGAAAGGATTAGACCAGATCTGTGATGTGGCTTTGTTGCATAGTTCTGTTTTGTTTTGTTAATATCAAAACTCCTTCAAGAATCTAATGGAATTTATAACTCTCTTCCCAAGGAAAAGCACATCCACACATAACATTTTGCAAACTATTTTCAAGTGTTCAGAAACCTCCTAGAGCTTACTCATCCCTGAACTAGATGACTGTTTTGTTTTGTTTTTTTTCATTTAAATAAATCTGCCTGTTTCTAAATAATTACTCTTGGAAACCAAAACAAAAAAGAAGCAACTTCTATCCCTGCTAAAAGCGTGCATTTGAGAAGAATGATCTCTTCCAAATTTCTTGGTAGAGATGAGTGAACTCCTCCAGTGCTGTGTCAGTTTGTTGAAAGATTTCTATTTGTATTCAGTCAATTCCTGGAGCCTTGGTTTTCACCAATGCCTTCAGACCAGCTTGGACTTTTTCCTTCAGTGCTATCAGTTCTTGATCATATGCCATTTCTGTATTACCTTGAATAAAACTTTACTTGCATAGGATAGCAAGATATCATCCGATGATTTCCACATTCTGCACAAATATGGATCTCTTTCAATCAATTGGCCAGATAGTTTTCTTTTAAATTTCTTGGCATAAATGAGTGAGTGCCTTCAGTGCCACCTCACTTTCTTGAAAGATTTCATTTTTTATTCCATCAATTCCTAGTGCCTTGTTCTTTGCCAATTCCTTCAATGCACCTTGGACTTCTTCCTTCAGTATCATTGGCTCTTGGTCATATGTTAGTTACCTCTTGCAATAGTTGAACATCAACCATTTCCTTTTGGTACAGTGACTCCGCGTATTCCTTCCATCTTCTTTTGATGCTTTCTGCAGCATTCAATAATTTGCCCATATATAATGAAAGTTGAGGCTTGAATTTTTCCTTCAGTTCCCCCAGCTTGAGAAATGTTTAGCATGTTCTTCCCTTTTGGTTTTCTGACTCCAGATCTTTGCACATTTCACTGTAATATTTTACTTTGTCTTCTCGAGATGACCTTTGAGATTTTCTGTTCAGCTCTTGTACCTCCTCATTTCTTCCATTTGCTTTAGCATCTCTATACCAGAGAGCAAGTTTCAGTGTCTCTTTTGACATCCATTTTGGTTTAGTGGTTTAAAATTAAGAAAGTTGTAAGATAGGGTTGTATTCTTTCACCATACTTATTCAACATGTATGCTGAGCAAATAATCCAAGAAACTGGGTTATATGAAGAAAAACTTGTCATCAGGATTGGAGGAAGACTCATTAACAACCTGCGATATGCAGATGATACAACCTTGCTTGCTGAAAGTGAAGAGGACTTAAAATACTTACTGATGAAGATCAAAGAGCACAGCCTTTGGTATGGATTGCATCTCAATGTAAAGAAAACAAAAATCCTCACCACTGGACCAATAAACAACATTCTTATCAATGGAGAAAAGATTGAAGTTGTCAAGGACTTCATTCTTCTTGGCCCAACCATAACATTCATGGATGCAACAGTCAAGAAATCAAACACGTATTGCATTAGGCAAATTATGTTTCACAAGACCTTTTTAAAGTATTAAAAGCACCTTGAAGATGTCAACCTGAAGACTAAGGTGTGCCTGACCCAAGCTATGGTATTTTCAATGACCTCATATGCATGTGAAAGCTGGACAGTGAATAAGGAAGACTGTAGAAGAATTGATGCATTTGAGTTATGGTGTTGGAGGACAATATTGAAAGTGCCATGGACTGCCAAAAGAACCAATAGATCTATTTTGGAAGAAGTGCAGCCAGAGTGCTCCTTGGAGGCCAAGATGGCCAAACTTCGTCTCTCATACTTTGGACATATTGTCAGGAGGGAACCAGTCGCTGTAGAAGGATCTCATGTTTGGTCAGGTGGAGGGTCAGAGAAAAAGAGGAAGACACTCAGTAAAATGGGTTGGCAGCATCAATGGGCTCAAGCGTGGCAACAATTATGAGGTTGGCCCAGGACTGGGCAGTGTTTCATTCTGTTGTGCATAAGGTCGCTATGAGTCGGTACTAACTCGATGGTCCCTAACAACAACAACAACAACATATCGTTAAGCTGTAATACTCAATTTTAATTCTTTTTCTGTGTACTCTCTCCCTTGTTTAGACTTCTCTTCATTTTCTTGATCATTTGATGTTAAATCAAGTTCTTTTTTTTCTTTTTCAGTCCCTCTGTATATGACCTCCTTCCCCCCTTCACTCAGCTTTCTGGCTCACTGTTACTCTTTCTTTCACTTTGTCAAGGTAGGGACATCCATGGGTTCCAGGAACAGACCCATTTCTTTGTTAGGTTCCGGGAAAGGATGTGAGAACAGTAATTTCCCAGACTTCTAGCACAGACCCTTGGAGACTGGAGTGCTGGAGGGCAAGAACTTGGTCTTGTGTCATTCTGTGTTCCCACAGAGGTTACTCTATGTCTATTGAAGGACTGTCATCATCTAGTTACATCTAACTAACACGATTCCTGCAGATTCATCCTTTATTAGATCCTGTGTTGTCTATATCTCTTCTCTGGGCCCTTTTAAAGCTTGAGAAAGGTTGACGGTTCCCTTAGCTGGCTTGGAGCAGCAGGCAGTGCGGCTGCGAAGGGACTGAGCAGACAGAGCTCTAGAAGGACACACCTGAGACAAGCAAATGGAGGCGGGGCCAGAAGAGGGAGTGGTCTCCCATCGCAAGACCCTCCCCTTCAGTCCGGCCCGCCCATTGGGCCCTGACTAAAGCCGGAAGCTGACTGTAGAGTGGGGACTTAGCCGAAGGGAAAGTCCTGGGACGTTCCCACACTGAGCCCCCCAGTCCCGGGTCGCAAGCCCTTTGCGACAGTGCCAGGGCCATGGGGGCTCGGTGGTACGTGTCACCCATCTTCCCAGGACCCCCGCTGGGGCTGCTACTGCTCCTGACCATGACGGCCCTGGAGAGCTCCTCCCTGCGTCTCTTGGGCTACCCGAAGCCCGTCTGCTCCCAGCCGGTGAGATAGATCCCTGTGCGCCCTCGGGTCGCAGCAACCGGGAGGATGTTGCGGCCGCCCGGGCTGGAGGCGTGGGCGGGCTGCCTGAGGGGGCTGCGTGCCTAGGGTTTGGGTGCAGGAACAGCGCTGGGGGTGTGGGTGGCGGATTGGTTTAGCGACTTGGCTCAAAGATCCCCGCGCACTGGGACTAAGGGAATTTAAGAAAAAGATCGCTTGGTGCGGGTTGCACAACCCAAACAGCTGTCCTGGTCGGGAGGCGGGAAGTGACACCCCCGCTGAAGTCCCAGAGTTTGGGGAAGTAGGCAGGGTAGGAATGATTGGAAAAAGGGTTGTGGCGAGGGAAGCTTTCCAAGGAAGCTGGGTAGGACTCCGTGTGCTGCCACACTGCGTGCCTAACAATCCCTCGTGCTGGGCCCTGGCGGGACCTGGGAAGCCAATCCAGAACTTGAGCTTCCCCTCAAGTTATACTCATTCGAGTCAAAGGAGCCGGGAGAGGCCACAGTAGCCGGATTAGAGCGTGACTGAACTGAAGTTGGAGACCCGTGATCATAGTGCAGCGTAGATGGGCAGAGGCGGCCCTCTGGGCCTAGGAACCCGAAATGGTGGAGACGTGAAGTGTCACCTTTCAGGGAACGTTTTGTGGAGAGCTGCTGAGCTTCAGGCTGCAGGCCAGCTGGGACCTCCTAAGAATGGGGCAGATGATTCCCTCCTCACCGCCCCACCACCCTCTCTGGGAACAGGGATAGCACTCAGGGTGAGATCTATTTGATAGCACGCACACGCACACGCCAGTGCCCACAGAAAGTGACACACTCACCCAGAGGGCCCTAAACACTGAGTCTGTCGTTTGCCTCTTCTGTTTACTCACACATTCCAATGAAATACATATGTAATTAAGTGCCCTTACAAGGAGCGAATGGTGGGTTTGAACCGCCAACCTTGCAGTTAGCATTCTAGTGTTTATTCTACAGCACCACACCAGGACTCCGACACACACACATACACGTATACATCTACATAAAGAGCTGTAGTGGCCTCCGGGGGTTACTGTTGATTTGCTAGCCACACAGTCAACATTCCAATCTACCAGACTCTCCGTAGGAAAATGATGAGACTTTCTGCTCCCAAAAAGATTTACAGCCTGGAAAACCCTCTATGTGTTGCTATAAGACTCCATTTAACAACCATAACAGCTTATATCTAGGTGTGTGTGTTGTTACGTTGGTAAGTACTGTATAGGGTTTCTGAAGAGGGGCTAGTGGGTTTGAACCACCAACCTTGTGGTTAGCAGTCTAGTGCTTAACCATACAGTGCCACACCAGGACTCTCTCTCTCTCTCTCTCTGTCTCTCTCTGTCTCTCTGTCTCTCTCTCTCTCTCTCTCTCTCTATATAT